GCCAGATGGCGGCTGCGTTAGTGGGATTAATACAATTCTGATAGATTACATGGCATCAGACAGGGTCCCGAATACGAGGGGTGCCCACTCTGCACCCCAGTCCTAAACAGAGCCCCACTCGCAATTGGGGTTGCTCCCAAGCGTTATGGGAAAGGGTGGAAGTTTCTCCCAGAAAAGGGCTTCTTCAGCTTCCTTCAGGATGGCAGAGGTGCAAAGCATAGCTCAGGGAGGCTTCCATGCCGACCGGCGGATGTCATTCCCATCCTGGCATGCCGAGGCCGCGTGGAAGGAACCTGCAGCACAGTGCAGGAGGGCTCCTTCACTGCAATTGGAAAGGGACACTGATGTTTGGCAACATTATTTCGCATTCTCCATCTGCCAAGTCAATGCTTTCGTTTGCTGGAAACATTTATAAACTGCCTCCTCCTTGCCCCTGCTTTAAAAACAAAAAAAATTAAAAATAACTTTAAAGTTGAATTTCCAATGCTACAGTATTTTTGGCATCTCCCTCAGTGTGTGTCTTAGATTAGATTTATATTGGTGACACATCAGTCAACCTCATCTCACTGCTCATTTCCCAGGTTTGTGAAACTGTAATTATAGCTATTCGATCACGAAAGAGCTCAACTACTACTGCTTTTGTTCTGGTAATAAGATCAGAAAAGAGACATAAAGCTTTACGTAGCAGTAAAAAAAAAAAACAACAACCCACCACTATACCCAGCCTGAAATCACAGATAACTTCTAAATCCTTCCTTCCAGGGGAACCTCCAAGTTCCATCATCAGTCACCAGCATGCATTATTTTTATGTAATGCCCAAATTGAGATAAGTGATTTGCAGAGAAACACAGAGGCAGAGCACTATGCTAATACATTCTGCAACTGCTCCCCATTAGTCACTGGGGGTACTTGAGCTCTTTATTGCCAGGGTTTATTAATGACTCCTAATTGATGACCAGTGCCCAGCACCCCAAAGTAAATAACTGCTACGCCTCATTAGCTCAAGAGACCACCTCCTGATTTGAGGATTGATCTATGAACACACAAATTGCACTGATTTAACCGAATCTCTTCCTAAATTGATTTAATTAGATCGGTATAACCTGTTTCTATGGACGTTCTTGAATTTATTTGGAATCAGTGCAATGCACTTCTGTGAGCCAGACTGACCATTTTTCTATCTTGTTCTCAAAGCAGAAACATTTGAGATAATTAGTGATAAGGCAAAATTAGCACTGGCACCGTCCCAGTTCCTCCAACTTCTGATCCACCTGACTTTAGGGTAGGGTATGGTACCTCCAATTTGTCCAACATTTACAGATTTGCACCCTAAACCCCAAGCATTTCATTCCCCCAAAGGAACGTAAGCATTACTTGTGCATAAATTTAGGCACTAAGCTTGAAAGCAATGGCATTGCTGCTTTGCTTGGTAATTTACTGCTGAGGGTAAACTAGTGGTTTACACTAAAAACAAGATCTCTCGTCTTCCTATTACACAGTAGCAGCTTGGAGGAGGTTAATCACTTGTTAAACTGTTTAAAAGCTTCCGGCAAGAATAAAATAAGTGAACCTGCTTAGGTGAACCTTCACAACTCTGCACTTGCATTCCTGTCTATCTCCTGGAGCAAGGCGAGGTCGTGATGATGCCGGGCTCCAGATAAATTAGACAGCCTTTTCCTGCCTTTGCATCAGCAAAATCCTAAAGGGCATACGGTAGGCTGTATTTGGCAGAGTAACGCCTGCTGAGGAATTGCTTTCAGCAGTCTGTCAGAACCCAGGGCTGACGAGGACGCGAGTTTTAGTTTTTAGTACATAAAATAAGGGGTTTTTGCTTATTCCAGGCTTCCTTAATATGATCCTGTAACTAGAAACTGTTTATGCTATCAACAGCCCCGGGAAAGAGAGACTAAAGTGGTTTGATTCATAATCCGAATTTTGCAAACTTACTGTAAAGCTTCAGTAAGGCCCACCATAGGCAACTGAGTTCATAAAATAGTCTGCATCAAAGTTTCTTTTCTCAGATCTTAGGTCTTGAGGTAGCATACACACAGAATTTTCAGCGTGGGACTTACCCATAAATATCAATGTGTTTAAGTTTAAGCTGGCTCAAGTTAGTACATTTTCTTTCCCCTTAAACACCTTAATTTTCTTCCTTTACAGACAATGCCTTATTTTTTCAAGACTACATTCTATTTACAAATGCACTGAAGTATTACTGAATGCTAACCTTATGTTCTTGTAAGTAACCACTCACAGCCTCAGAAAAGTCACTCGTCTCAGGTGAGTGGCATTACTAACAAACCAATTCACTCCATGCTCTCGATAAACTTGGATGCCAAACTGAATGTCTAGAGCCATCCTTCTTTGGCTCATCTGCTTGCACATTTTGTACCGGTGCAATTTTGCTGTTTAGGGCTATGCTTTTCACTATTGAAATTATCACCATTAGAGATGTGCCTATACTTGCATACATTTACTCCCTGTTCTAGTAAAAGAATGAACAATACACAAAAGCCGTAATACATGGGCAACTGCACCGAGAGAGCTGAAGCTGTACAACCTACATGTGGGTGAGGTGATGATGATGTTGCCAAGAAGGCCAATGGTATTCTGGGGTGCATTAAGAGGAACATGGCCAGCAGGTTGAGGGAGGTTATCCTGCTCTGCCCTGGTGAGACCCCACCTGGAGTAGTGTGTCCAGTTCTGGGCTCCCCAGTTCAAGAAAGACGAGGAACTCCTAGAAAGAGTCCAGAGGAGAGCAACTAGGATGATTAAGGGACTGGAGCATCTCCCCTACGAGGAAAGGCTGAGAGAGTTGGGCTTGTTCAGCCTGAAGAAGAGAAGACTGAGAGGGGACCTCATCAACACATACAAATATCTTAAGGGTGGAAGTCACAAGGACAGAGCCAGACTCTTTGCAGTGGTGTCCAGTGACAGGACGAGGGGCAATGGGTACAAACTGAGACATAAGAGGTTTCAGTTGAATATGAGGAAAAACTTCTTTACTCTGAGGGTGACAGAGCACTGGAACAGGCTGCCCAGAGGGGTTGTGGAGTCTCCTTCTCTGGAGATATTAAAAGCCCGCCTGGATGAAGTCCTGGGTAATATGCTCTAGGAGAACCTGCTTTAGCAGAGGGGTTGGACTAGATGATCTCCCGAGGTCCCTTCCAACCCTTGCGATTCTGTGATTCTGTGATACTTGCTTGCTTCCTGCCTTGCAGCTGAAGACACTGCTGCCTGTGAGCCAAGCTATGCTAACGGACCACATGAGTTTCCATTCTGCCAGCAGAGTCAGGAGACTTCATCTCACTCACTTTCAGCAAAATCACTCTATTCCAGCTGTGTCAGAGACTACATCTGCCTACAGCCTCCTTTTGTAAGGACTACAGCTATGCTATACTAAACATACAGCACAGATGTTCCTCATGGTATGTTTGGGGAAAAAAAAAGTATTCTGAGCTGTACTTATCTTCAAGTCCTGCAAAAGTCATGTTCTCATAGAAATAAAAACAAAAATATGACAAGAAGATTTGGACTAGTCAAGCCAACCAGAGAAAACTGTTTTCCTGTATATCGGGCTATATTTCATATCCAAGAAAGGGGCACAGGCAGTACTTGGGATAGCCAAGACTCTGAAAGCACTGTAGGACTAAGCATAGCTCATACTTAGCACCCAACACTGGGCAGCACTGATATGTTCCACTCCTAAAGAAGAGCTCGAACAGGATTTAAACCACAAGGTCAAACTGAGATGAAGGATGTTGACTGAGACCTACATTGACACAGCAGGGAAGAACAAGGAGCTTGTGGCTAGCAGAAGTGCTATTCCTCAAAGAGCCTGTTAAACCAAGGTCACACCTGACCACCTCTGGTCAAGGTCCAGGGGCAAGTTAAAGATGTGTTGGCTCTCCACGCGAGGCAGAGAAGGCTGGCCCTGGCCAACTGTTCCATCTCGCTATAAAGCGGGTTGCAACACCAAGGGAAATGTCCGCACTACTGCTGAGCACAAAGCTGCCACCCTATTTGCTTACACAGAGCAGCCATATCAATTTCTACCTGAGCTCCTTGCAAAGGATTTGGAGCCACCAGCTCAAGATTTATTTTTCATTAGTTTGTGACAACAAGTCAAAAGAAATGCTGTGTTAAGAGTTTTAACAGTTTGGGAAAGGTCCCAGCAAGCTTGGGAGGCTCTGTGTAGAGAAATCAGTGTTTATATTTTAATTTCCCAGGACTAAAATGATGCAAGACATTCAATAAAACAAATGGGATCACATACACATAAATGGGTGACTGCAACATGACAGTGAACACTGCTCAAAAATTTAGTCTTCCCTGACTGTTCATTTTAACTAAAAATACAATGCTGTATTCAGAAAGATCCTCCAGGCAATCATTTAGGTATTGGAGTCAATATTATACCCATGATTAGTAGTCTGGAACAGTAAAAACCCAACCAAACAAGAAAACCCAGCTGTCCTTATTCAGTAGCTAATGTCACTTACCACTTGCACCTTGACAGTTTTTGAATAGCACCATTCTAGTTCAGTAAATGCGTTTCTGCTATGCTAGCTGCAGAAGCTAGAAAAAATTAATTTGATATAAGGTACAAACTCTCCCTGAAGGCCACTGTCCAACATTAAAACCTTCACTGAACAATGCTTAATTAATGTATTGGTAAAGAAATAACTATTTGAAAAAGGTAGCATCTGAATATCTTTCTATTAAAAATATCCAGTATTACCTTTTTTAGCCATATAACTGAAAAATGGGAAGCCTTGCCCTTCCCCCACATCTTGCACTAGGGAAAGGTTACTACCTGGCAATGATACAGGCAGTTATTGATTTAAATGATTATGGACCTGAAAAGTTCTTTCCTGTCATTTATTATCCTGTTGTAGTTGCCACTGCACTTGTGCAATATTAAAAAAAAAAAAAAAAGCTTAACAAAATGTCATGAGAAAAATACTGTTTTTAACTCAAGTCCAGTGCAGATAATCACCTGATTGTTTCTTCTTGATATAACGAGCTGACAACTGGGCCTCCAAATGCAGTTTTGCTTTCTTTCCCCCTCTTCTCTGTCATCTGAAAGAAAAAGAAAGATTGGTCCGGCATCCTGGCTCCCATCCCATTCCAGCCTGTGCCACCCCTCCGCCATCTCCCACCCCTTCTCTTGCCCCAGAGGTGGGATCAGCCCTCTGGAAGCCTCATCTGCACAGCAGACAGTACCCCATGCCCCTACTCCATCCAGAACAGCTGGATGGCTCTGTCGGCAAACCAGATCAATGCTCCTCTGAAGGTGGCCCAGAAGGGTCACCCGAAAGGTAGGCTTGGCAGCCTCGCCGTCCCACTCATGAGCCAAAGCGTTGCCTCTGCAGCGCTCCCAGCCATGGCCCCTCAGGACCCAAAAGCTGAGCCTCTGTGAGGTAGCATAATGTTATGTTACTAGATTGCAAAGCCTGCCTTTATAAATCTATTTAATATAGATTTAAAATTAAATTTTATAATGGGCAGCATTTCCAAATGATTTACTCCCAGGAACTCTAGGATTCTGAATGATTCCCACCATAATAGAAATGAACAATTAGAATAATGATTGATCGATATGGAGCCTCAGGCCTACCTTTTCAAAAAAAAAAAAAAAAAAAAAAAAAACACAAAACCATCCTGCAGCTTGGGATCTTCAATTGGCTGACTTTACACTGATGCCAGACTTTCAGAAAGGACTAAGTGCCTGCTGTCTGAAAGCCTGACCCTATTACGGGGTGCAGGGCACCAGAAACCCTAACTGTGCTAGGGCATCTACTATCTCGGTCTTCAGGTAAGCAGTCAAAACTGGTTTGTAATTTGCAGCAGTAATTCTTTATAAAAGCAGCCCATTAATTGCAACGTGCTGTTGCCACTGGACAGTTCTGTGGCTTTCTGCGATGAGAGATAATCACACCCAGGGTGAACAAAATCAGAAGCAAAGGGAAAGCCGTCCCAACCTCCAGCAGTCTCTCAGTAGCTGCAATATATTGCTGATTACACCAAAAAGCATTGTTGCCTCATCAGAATTCTACGTAGAAAGATGTTGATTTTTTTTTTAAATAAAACATGATTACATTTGTCTTTCTTCCTGCTCCTTAGGTTGCTTTTGTTTTAAATCAATTTACTGTTTCCCCATAATACAAGTCTTACGAGGAGCAGCTGAAGGAACTGAGGTTGTTTAGCCTGGAGAAGAGGAGGCTGAGGGGAGACCTTGTCGCCCTCTACAACTGCCTGACAGGAGGCTGTAGCGAGGTGGGGGTCGGCCTCTTCTCCCAGGTAGTGGGCGATAGGATGAGGGGAAATGACCTCAAGTTGCACCAGGGCAGGTTTAGGTTGGACATTGGGAAAAATTTCTTCACCGAAAGGGTGGTCAAGCATTGGAACGGGCTGCCCAGGGAAGTGGTCGAGTCCCCATCCCTGGAGGGATTTAAAAGACAGGCAGACGAGGTGCTTAGGGACATGGTTTAACGGTGGGATGGCAGGGTTAGGTTAATGGTTGGACTTGATGATCTTAAAGGTCTTTTCCAACCTAAATGATTCTATGATTCTATGATTTACTTTCATGTTCTGCCCAGTTTGAGATAACCAGTTCCACCTTTCAGCTCTCCTGTACCAGCCCAAAGCTCTAATACTTGGAATTGCAGATATCACAGACATACTTCTTTAAAAGAAAAAACGGAAAGGAAATTAGCTTTGAAAATTACTCTATCGCAAGTAGGCTTTTTCTAATTTAGAGTAGAAGGTGACACAAAGTTCTCCTTTCCTGAAGGGAAAGGGCTTCAGAGTCTTTACAGTGCAATGCCCCTCTTAAAAAATTATTTAGCAGAGAACCTTACTGTCCATCAATTATTTCCACACCACTTATAAAGAAAATTAATTTCAGATCAGCTGCTAGCACATGCAAGAGTTATTTCTATAAAATGAAGCTATACTCACAACTAGTCTACCTTCTTTGATATTGAAGGACAGTCGTCATTCAACTAGCATCAGAAACTACAAAAATTTTCAATCTATATTCTTTCATCTCTTCCCACTACAGTTTTTGGTTGTTGCTTTTTTTCAAAGTCAGAAACAACACTTGAGAAAATACATTTCATCTTTCTAGAGGCAGAAATTGTAAAAAAGGTTTCTTGGATTAAGTTCACCTTCTTTGCACAACCAATGCATTTCTACCAAAGATTAATCATGTTGATTGAATACACATAAGGTCATCGGCAGACTTAGTGATAAAGGCTTTCCCAAAAATGCTCAGGCAAAAACTTCTCTGGCTTTTAATCCATATACAGGTTACTTTGTCCAAGTAGCTTTTATCTCATCCCTTTCTCACAGAAATAGGTAACTCAATATTCAATTTATGAATGTCGAACCAAGCTTATTCCATCTCAGTCCTTGATATGTAGAACAAGTTTATGAAAAATGTACAGGAAAAGTCTCAGCTATCCTGTCGGGATTTAATGCGAGCCCCTACTCTGCAAAGCCATGAAAGACAGCATCATGGCTCCACCATTCATCTCCACTGGACTTCCCAAGGGGAATCTGTCCAGGCTACAAGGAATGTTTCTTCCCAAAAACGTTAACTCTGCCTTGACTCCGATACAAACTGGTTTCTTTCCAGCTGCCCTTGACAACTTGCCTATACCATGAGCTCATCAGCCCGCTTCTAATATCCATACTACCCAGCCTGCCAGGGACTCGCACGCAGTATCTGAGCACGACGTACTGAAGTGGGTAATGAAAGAGGTGGGACAGAAACAGTTGTTCCTTCCAAACCACGTCACAGCTATTGTACTAACAGGAATCAGTGTTTTTATTTGTCGCTCATGCTGGCTGAAGGGATCAGTAATGTGCGGATGCACTTTGCCTCTTAAGTTTCTTGACATTTCTACAGCAGAAAAGGGCTTTTAGGGCTGGAAAGATAAAGGAAATGCTACATATACACAGATAATGACCAGTGAGTTTAAAGTCACATTAGCTTGCAAGCCATAATGAAATTAAAAACTGACACTGCACATTCTCTCTCTCCTTTAAAAACGGCACTAATAATTAACTATGTGGCTCTCAATTAAGCCAGCTCAATTTCTTTCACTGCTGGCAGTGCTGTCCAAAAGCCCTGCAGGTACACATGTAACTAACGATAGTTAAGAAATAACACGATCCAAGGCTCCCATAATTAGCAACCTGAGTCCGAGAGAGATGACAGCAGCATTATCCACAGTCAGGACCATGTAAGAGAGATGCTGTAGAAAAGGCAGAATTACTGTGGGCTCTATGAGCGTGAGGGGGCTGCCCTCAAACTGCCCGTTAAAAACTCTGGGAATAAAGGGGAATTTGTGACAGCACGGGAAGAAACCTTGGAGTACTGCACCTGAGTGCTGAAGCACAGGCAGCGGCATGTAAGAGATCCTGGAAGAGATGATGATGAAGTGGCACTTACACTTCTTAAGAAGCATTGGAATTTCTCATCTTTTCCCCTAATTCTTGGCCATTGATTCTTTGTTGCTCGTGTACAATTAAGGCTGGAATTTTGTAAGTGGCACTTGCACTGCCTTAAGAGGCACTGGAATTTCTCGTGTTTTCCCCTAATTCTTGGCCATTGAGTCTTTGTTGCCTGTGTACAATTAAGGCCGATATCAAAGTCACTATTACTCTTGACAGTTAACTTTGGTAGGTGGATCTGGATGACCAAAGCTAGCATAAATCACGGGCAAATATGTGCTTCAGTATGCAGCATACGTACTCATTAAGAGACATTTTCAACTCCCCTGACTCCCGATGTGCTCACAGACTGGCGCAGGGAACTCCACTAAGCCCAGAACTATCCTTCTCACATGTCACCAGGAATGC